TCTGAGACCACCTTTCACTGCTATATCCTGTCCCTAGCACAGAACCTGACATACGTTCTGAGCTCAGATAAATAGATTACAACTTACTTAACTTAAAAAAATAACTCACTATTTCATTTTCACGTCCTCAAAATGAATGCTTATGTGTTTGGATGGAAGATACCATGGCCTTCTCCTTTTTTGTCTGCCCCACACCCCTGGCCAACCCAACTCAGAAGGTCTGAGTGCCCCTGATTCCAAGTCCTCTGCAAACTCCTCCCCTAGTCTATGACTGACAAGTCACAAGGCAGGTCTGTTGTTCTGATTCCGTTGAGTCAATTTAACTAGAGAAACTAGAGCACAAAAATGCTCCACACATTTTTTTTTTGGCTTGTGTGCTGGGCGAATTGCAGGGAAGACTCTTTAGCTCAGCAGGGCAAAAGTCACCAGCCAGTCTGTATTCTGCTGCTTTACTTCCCAAAGTATACATCTGGGGACTAGTGCAGGCTTTCCTATTTCCTAAAGCATGCTCGAGGAAAGAGAAAGCTCATCTCTCAATTGGGGTGGGTTCAAGCTAGACTTTTAAAGATGTCTGTGTGTACTCACGCACACACGAGTGGGTGCAATTCATTGCCTCTGTTTTCTTTCCTTACAGTTATCATCCTGATCTGCAGTGCACAGGATGCAAATGTTATTCTGCTGGCTGCTGAGAAGCTGGGACTGCACGCAGGAGGATTTGTCTTCATCATTGTGGAACAGTTTGAGGTGGGTGCTGATGCCCACTCGGTAGCTCTGGTAATAACCGGTTTAGAGCGCTACCTATAAGCCAGGATACACTAGCTCACTGAATTCTCTCTATAACCCTGTGATGCAGGTGCTCTTGTATCCATGTCTCTTAAGATCAGGAGACTGAAAGGAAAGAATTTGCTCAAGGTTCTTTTGCACAACTAGTGAGCAGCTGAACCAGGTCTTGGACAAGGCGAGCTGGTTCCAGAGCTATGAACATGCATGTATGTTCTCCAGGGCAGTAAACACCAACTGTTTTAATCCCTTTCCATTTATTTTTTTAAATTGAGATGAAATTCTTATCACATGAATTTAATCATTTGAAAGTATACAGTTCAGTGGCATTTAGTACATTCACAATGCTGGGCAATCACCACCTCTATCCAGTTCCAAAACATTTTCATCATCCAAAAAAAGGAAACATCATACCCATTAAGAAGTCACTCCATATTCCACCTTTTCCCCAACCCCAGTAACCACCAATCTGCATTCTGTCTTATGGATTGACACATTCTGTGTATTTCATATAAATAGAATCATATGATACGTGACCTTTTGTGTCTGGCTTCTCTGATGCAGCATGTTTTTGAGGTCCATCCATGTTGTACTATGTATCAGTACTTCACTCCTTTTCATGGTTGAGAAATACCCTGCTGTGTGTATACACCACAATTCATGTATTCATTCATCCATTGATGGAAATGTGGGCTAGACTTTTAAAGATGCCTGTGTGTACTCATGCACACGTGAGCAGGTGCAGTTCACTGCCTCTGTTTTCTTTCCTTACAGTTACCATCTTGATCTGCAGTTTGGCTGTTGTGACTTGTGCTGTTATGAACATGCATGTATGTTGAGTTTCAGACTTTGCATGCATTATTGCACTTGGTTCCATCAATTCTTAGAGCCTTGTTCTTCACCAATGACTTAATTGTAACTTGAACTTTTTCCTTCAGGCCCATCAGTTCTTGATCATAAGCTACCTTCTGAAATGGTTGAAAATAGAATAATTCTTTTTAGTACCATGACTCTGTGTATTCCTTCCATCTTTTTTTTTTTTTTTTTTTTTATTCAATTTTTTGTCCATAGAATCCTTCGATATTGGAACTTGGAGCTTGATTTTTTCTTTATTCTTTCAACTTGAGAAATGCTGAGTGTGTTCTTTCCTTCTGGTTTTCTAACTCCAGGTCTTTGCACATTTCATTATAATACTTTACTTTGTCTTCTCAAACCACCCTTTGAAATCTTCTGTTCACTTCTTTTGCTTCATCATTTCTTCTGTTCACTTTAGCTACTCTATGTTCAAGAGCAA